GAAGGCGTCAGGAGAAGCGTGGGAGGGAGAGAGGCGCTGGGCCGGCTTTTATGCTGCTCCCGCAGGGGCGGCACAGCCTTGGCCCAGCACTGTCAGCTGGCGGCAGCTTGGAGGGGTTGGTTTACGGGAGGCTTGGGTTGTTGGAGGTGTGTCAGGGAGGGCTGACTAAACAGCCAGAGCCCAGGAGAGGTGTGATGTCATCAGGGAGGTGATTTGGTGGCCCTGGTGTGCTGTGGTTTGTGGGTGTATTGAGAATTGCGGATCCTCTCTTATGTTCTCCTGGATGTCCATCAGTCCTTGTGTTGCAATCAGGAATGCTGCGGGAGCTGGGTGATGTTTGGGATGTCACTGTTCAATAGCTTGGGAAGGTCTTAGTGCCTGGAAATGCTTGGTGATGGAAAAGGAGAGCTCATTCCCCTCCTGAATTGAGCAGAATGATCCAAAGAGAGGAACTGGAGAACTCAAGGCTGGTCAGGTTGGCCTTGTTCCAGTGTTATGTTTCGTTTGCGTTTCTCAACCTCATGTGACAACATCCTCTATCATTCAAAGTGTGTGTTTTTTCCTCATTAAGAAATCCAAGAAAGAAACAACCAGCTGGGCCTGATCCCTTTTTGCCCAGGCTGGGCTGTGACATCAGTTGGCTTTTTCCGCATTCAGGACATGACGTTTCCTAATTTATAACCCAAAGTTGTAACATCCTGGACCTTTGATGAAAGAACTGGAATCACTAGTGGACAGTTGTCAAGCTTCTCTCTCCTCCTCTGTCACAAAAAAGGAATTCCTTTGTGGAATTCTGAGATTGCATGTCCTGCCCTTGAGGCCGTGTCCCTCCGACCTTGGCAGCAGCTTTTCACTGTGAGTATTGGAGGCCAAAGGCTGGAGTTGATGGTACGTGTCAGGTAGGGCTGGAGATATAAGCAAAGCTTTGGCGAGGTGGGGTGTGACCAGTGAGGTCCCCCCGTGTCCCTCGTGTGCTGTGGTTTGGGGTGTGTTGTGAGGAGGGGCCCCAAACCATCCCAGCCCTGTCAGGCTGCTCTGGGCTGTGAATTTGTACGAGATGTAAAAATCTGCCCCTTCCATCTCATTCACTCTTTCCTCTCCTTGGTTCCATCTCTCCTAGCCTGTCTGTATCCCTGGCCTTTCCCACTGGGACTGGGAAAGCAGTGCCTGGGATTCAGGGAGGCCTCCCATGCTCCCCCAGTCTTGTGTTGGTTCATCCGTAACGCTGGTCTGAGCTGGGCCCAGCAAGGTCCCACTCTGGGCTCCCGGTGCTGGGCTCTGCTGGGACACGTGGGAAGGGCAAGTGGGGAAGAGTGAGGAGAACAAGCCCCGTGAGGAGCAGTGGCAGGGACTGGGGATGTTGGCTTTTCAGCAAGAGAGGGGTGATCCTGTTCTGCTCCAGACTGCACTGAACGGAGCTCGGGTTAAGGTGTATGTCAGTGTTTCCTCCGTAGCACCAAGATGCAGGAGAAGAGGAAACAGAGCCAAGTTTGCCCTGTGCAGACTGAGTTTGTTCTTGGGAAAATGCCTTCTTAGAAAGGGCTGTGCAGCCCTGGCACAGACTGCCCAGGGCAGTGGTGGAGTCCCCATTGCTGGAGGGATGGAAGAGCTGTGTAGATGTGGCACTTGGGGTGGTGGGTTAGTGGTGGCCTTGGCAGGGCTGGAGCAGGTTGCACTCAGTGATCTCTTCCGTTTCTGTCCTTTGCAGCCCAAAGGTTTGTGAGGTTTGCTGGTTCACTGAGGAGCTGGGATGTCTTGCAGTAAGAACTGGACTCAGTGTTAATGCCCTTTTGCAGCTGAAGTGACTCCCTGGGTTTTGGAGGCAGCTGCTGCGAGGGAGCAGAGGGCAAATGGGAGCGGCAGCAGGGGAGGCTGAGCCAGGGCCTTTGGGGTCTGGAGCTGTGTCAGTGCTGAGGGGTGAGGCCTCTCCTCTTGCTGGCTTTGCCCTGAGGAAATGGTGCTTGCCTGAGCTCTGTGTCCCATCTGTGGCAGGACTGCCCCTGGGGATGAGGAGGGAGCTGTGGCTCCCTCAGTGTTGAACTCGACCCTTTGTAAAGCCTTGGAGGGGCCTTCCAATTCAGTGCTGCAAGACTGCTGAGCAAGGAAGGGTTTGCTCAGAGTGCAGTGAGAGGACTGGGAGGGTGTGAGGGCCCAGAGGGCTGTGATGAGTGGCCCAAGGTCCAGATGGAGGCAAGTCTGCAGTGCTGTATCCCAGGAGTTGGATGTGTGGAGCCAAGTGTGTTCAACACCCTCAGTGATCCTTCCCCTGTACTTGGCACTGGTGAGGCCACACCTTGAGTGTTGTGGTCAGTTCTGGGCCCCTCAGGTCAGGAAGGACATGGAGGGGCTGGAGCAGGTGCAGAGAAGAGCAAGCAGGCTGGGGAAGGGACTGGAGCACAAGTGCTGTGAGGAGAGGCTGAGGGAGCTGGGGTTGTTTAGTCTGGAGGAGGCTCAGGGGTGACCTCATCACTCTCTACAACTCCCTGAGAGGAGGTTGTATCCAGGTGGGGGTCGGTCTCTTCTCCCAGGCAATCAGCAGCAGGACAAGAGGGCATGGGCTTAAGCTGTGCCAGGGCAGGTTTAGGTTGGCTATTAGAAGGAAGTTCTTTGCAGAGAGAGTGATCAGGCATTGGAATGGCCTGCCCAGAGAGGTGGTGGATTCACCGTCCCTGGAGGTTTTTAGGATGAGGCTGGATGTGGCACTGAGTGCCATGATCTAGTAAGCACAGTGGGGCTGGATCAAGAGTTGGACTTGATGATCTCGAAGGTCTCTTCCAACCTAGTTAATTCTATGATTCTATGACGCAAGCAGAGCCTTGGGGATGATGAAGGGCTGGAGCCCGCGGTGTCCGTGGACACTTAAGGCAGCACCCCCTGGGAGTTTGTGTCAGAGGGGTGGGTGGTGTGTCCAAGGCTGTGTTTGGGCCAGGGAAGAGTTTGTGTCCCATTGGGGAAGGCCCTTGTGTGCCAGTGTGTGTTGATGCTTGTGAAATATTTCCTAGGAGAGAGCTGGTCCCTTTTCCCCCCATGCGATGGCATCTGGTGCCAGAGCTCTGTGCCAAATGAAGTTCTGGGAGACTTGGGAGAAGAAAGGATGAGGAGGCATCTCATGTTTTGCTGCAGGAGAACTTTATTGAGACAAAAGAGTGAAAAGGCAGAGAAAACACTGGAAGGGATCTGGTCTGAGGTGCAGTAGAGCGACCATCAGCTGAGAAGGGCAGGTCCAGGGGGTGTGAGCT